CACCCGTTTCGTTGTGTTGCTCTGGACAAAGGTCGGCATGTGGAATCAGTTGTTTTGGATGGTTTGGATTCAGTCACAAGGTTTTCCAGATCCAGGGCCTGTTGTGCTTGATTCCAGGTCCCAGCTTTCTTCCGATGCAAGTCTTAAATTCACTACGTGTTGTGGTGCAGTGTCAACACGTGGCAAAGCAAGGAATATCTCCCGTTGTATAACCATGTCGCAGGTTCTTGATGCTGATCATAGCAGGCTGCTTTGGTAGGAAGTCAAAGTTGTTTTGAGTCCTCAGTCATTTGTTGGAGGTGTGTGATGTCAGTTGCTACCTCCACAAGTGCAGCTTCATTGTTGGAGGTGTGGACCATACTGCCATAATACATGAGCCTTTGTGGCTTGTTCCCAGGGTGCACCTTCAGAATAGTTCCATCAGCAAACCATGGATTGACGTTCTGCCCACAACACTAAACTGAAAGCCGAATAATGCAGAATAAATATCCAACACGGCGTGTTAGTTATCAAACAGTATCCCAATTCAACTTTTTCACGTATGCATGTTGGAGTCTTTTTTAGACAGGGCTTGCTTGGCTTTCACTTTGCCAGTTGTCGACGTTTGAACCTTGTGAATGGGCCCCGTGTGGGATGTATTTGTCCTCGGCGCCGGTCAATCAGAGTTTGCCTTTTTCAGTCACCTGTGCTTGGCTAATCCTGGCTCCACCCTGTGCTAGCTTTTAGGATGTGCATGGTTCGCTTGCTCCCGAGGCACTCAAGCTGCAATCGATGCATTCAAATCCATGGCCAAAGATGCCAAGGCCCTTCAGTTGGACCTCCTCAAGGCGTTGGGGAGTGTTAATGTGAAGCCTTTTGGGGGAGGCATTTTCCATTGGTCTCGCAGGTTGTTCTTTTAGAAGGTGGTTTCTCATTCGAATGCAGATTGCATTGATGAGTCGATTGATGAAGTATGATGAGGTCATATCAGTCTGATCTGTGAACTGCCCGCTTTACCAATCCGCAGGGTAGACATGCAAAGGAGGCTTTCTTGGGCCTGATGAAGGAAGCTGAATCAGCTTGAGGTAATTATTGAAGGGTCTTGCTTTAATTTTATATATAAGAGCTTTAGAATGGCAAGACAAATTAGAGCCAAAACAAACTCAAGAACGGTGTTGATATGCTGGATTATTCCCAAACGAGCAAAGAACCGGCAAGCAAGTTCCATTTGGAAAAAGCAGCAAGTGTGTCCACGGCAGCCTTCAAATTGTGAAGCCAAAGTCAATCAAAGTCAAGCAGGTGGCATTTAGGACCGGATCCGAATTAGCTGCGACAAGTGGAGAGACTCAGCCAATGCTTGGCCATGGAGGGCAGGGTTCAAGAGCCAGAAACTCAGGAGTGCAACACTCGACTGACAGACTATAGTCGTCAGTGACGGATATCAATGGCACGATTGAGTATCGAGCTTCTAGCTCCTCCAACATGTCTATACTAATTTCTGCACCAGTTCCAGGTAAACCCAATTCCAATACAATCATTTCAGTGCAATCATATCCAACCAGACACAAGCATCAACTTCAACTCATGGAAGGGCATGTTGGACCAGTGCACCATTAATGCTGATTTGCAGTTTGAAGATACTGAAGGCTTTTGCTTCCTCGGGATCAGCCGCCTCCTTTGGATATTGGTGCCATTGAAGATGACGAAAGGCCCGCCTGGTGCTTGTTTTTATATTGCGCTTTGTATAATCGGCTGGTGACCTTTTAAGGCGGGTTGCATGTTCTTTGAACATACCGTACATACCAACTCGACCTGTTTTTTTCATGTTTTTTCCACATAAGATAAGACAGATAAGGTCAGGTTGATATTGGTTGCTTTTCCCTTCCTTTGTAGCGCAGTAATTGTTTCAAGCATGCTCACAGCATGCTCACACACCAGGTTGCATGCCATTGTCGGTGACTCTGTTGCATCAGAAGGCTTCCCGGCACAAGTGTTTGTTTGTGGTGATAGCCTGCGTATTACCACGACCGATATGAACGGACTTTGGGGTGTTGTTCGGTAACTGGTAACTTTTAATTCTAATTAAACTAATTAAATTAGACTTAATTGTTAATTCTTGTTTCCTACTAGCTTCTTGTTACTAGTAGTAAGGCCCTTGTTGCTAGTAGCGATGCCCTTGTTACTAGTAGCTTCTTATGTATGGATTCACAGGCTATGGTGGGAAGCGAACTCCAAGCTCAACTCATGTACAACTGCTTGGCTGTCTTCGCGGCATTGGCTTCTCAGGATGACAACTTCAGCGATGCCATGTCAGTGAATTATTGTTGTTTGATACAAGCGGGGTGGAGCTTCAGGAAGCAGAACCTAGTTCACCAAATCTGTTTTTGCTGACGTGTAGCTTCTTGGCACACACTGACCCCTTTGGTATGCCAAATCCGAGCAAGTTGGAAAGCAGCCAAGACCGATTATGAAATGGCAACCAGATATATACGACATATTATTACAATATACTGTAATGGTATACGTACGTCCAGAAAATATCCTACATTGTCCCTTCGGCGTTCAAAGAATATAGGCCTTCATTTGATACTACAATTACTACACTACTCCCTTTTATTCCAAGCGCGGCTCGTACACCTACCTGAAATCCTACACAAATGCAGCAAAGGATTACATATCAGAGCTGCTTCACACAGGTCGTTGATTGTAGAGGTTGGAAAAACTCGATGAGTTGCAGCTATTAAAGTGTTTTAAGCTAAACATGGTTTTGCACTTAGATATCCAGTGTACTTTTAACCAGATCAATGAAAAGTCTTGAAGACTCCACTTTGTCGGAGGCCGCACTACCCCGCGCTTGGGCCTCTCAGAAGGATGAGCAAGCTGCGTTCGGTGTTTGTCATATTCGCCAGAGGTGCACTAGTTAAAAGTGTGCCTTGTCTGCCTCGTTATGCCTCGTTGCTTTTGAAGTTTCGTGATTTGGCGTGGCTAGAATCTGACAATTCACAAGGATGCTCATGTCTTGGGGACCCCAACGTGGCGGGGTTTGTTTGATAATTTGGCTTCCAACAGTTGCAGGATCGCCGCAAGACGCGCTGCAATCCGATGACTCTGCGCTGGTGCGGCCTCACAAAGCTAGAAATTGACAGTTGAAGAGATGCAATTCTACAAACTCAATCCACTTCTGCATGCCAAACCATTCCACTTCATGTATTCTTCGGGTATTGCCATCGCCTGTTGTTTTTCAATGTGTTTTTTCAGCCGATTCTTCTGCTCAATTCAGCCATTGGCGCCAGGCAGCACTGATTGGCCCCAAGGATGGGCCCCACCTCATTGGAAAGCCTGACAAGTCTGAGACTCGGAGATTTGGATAAGCAACCACTAAGAGACATGACGCCACTCGTATGCCCTTCATGACTTGTCCAAGTTGAACTAGCTACCGGTAGAGAAGCTGTACAGGTAGAAGTGCAAGCACTCATTCAAGCTTTGCAAGAGATCAGAGTTGCATCCACTTTCGAGCTTCTGCAGTCTTCTGTGGATGTATGAGCTCACAAACGTAGTAACAAGGGCATCGCTACTGGCAACATGGGCATTACTACTGGTAGCAAGGACGCTACTAGTAGTTTCTTGTTACTAGTAGCGATGCCCTTGCTCCTAGTAGCGATGCACCCTGTTACTACTAGCTTCTTGTTACTAGTCTGAAAATGTTTTGCAAAAGACAACTGTTGTGTCCGCTTGGTCTGGTACCACGGAAGATGCGAGGTGCAAAACGACCTGAAGCGATCAACAAGTCACCCTGATCAACAGTCATTACCACATCCATCCACATCCAAGATCTGGTGGCATCATTGCAAACCTTGGGGACGATATGAAGCTCACGACCTTGATTGGGCCTTCACAGGCACGGAAAGGTCACCAGAATTCAGAAGTGGGGCCTCGCGACATGTATTCACTAAAGGGTCCACACTTATGTTCAAGTACTTGCAGCTGTGCACACTTAGACTTAGACTAACTCTTGCTCAGCACATATCACGCTTAAATTGGAGCATGTCATCCACACTTCCTGGAAGAAACTCAGCGAGCAGGATTTTAGACACAGAGTCCACTCTACAGCAGTATGATTACATCCAAAAATCCACAAAATACCGCAGCAACAAATGTAAGACGGGTGGATAAATTATTGTTGATGTTCCTGAGGCAGAGTACTCTCAGAACCGCCTTGCGCTGCACCTCCTAAGTCTTCCTACCAGTTCCGATTACAAAAGATTACAAAAGCACGGTGCTAAATCATGAGAGAGCCGAACAGGCAGAGCAGGATGACCTTGCTTTGGTCCGCCCGGCGGGTTATTTGCTTGCTTTGCATGCGTCAAGTCAGACCAACCTCACCTTGTTGGATGGATGCGATCTTCAATTGGCACGAGAGTTCGAGTGTGTTAGACTTCAAGCTTGGAAGTTGGATCCTGTCATTCTTGTTGCAATTGGGCCCTCAAACAGATCAACTGTTGGGCAGCCACGTGTGCTCACATCCGCAGCTTTCTCAGTTCGTTGAGTTCAACGGCTCAACTTGCATCCGACAGATTCACGCCATGCGCGAAAGAGCTTCATGTGGTCAACAAATTTTGGAGATCACACATGGCCATAGCCGCCTTTCTGTTGCAAAAAGACCATCAACTTGATCCTGCAGTGGGTTGGCCTTGGTGATATTTTGCTTTATGATATTGCATGTGTGTATATATAGATATATGTATGTAAGGGTAAATTATAGGAATATACGCATATGTCTTATGTTGTCTTCTGTGTAAAGCTGTTGTGGAAACATGCGGAACTGCGTGTTTGATGGTTGCGCCAGAAGACATGATTCTCATTGCTGAGGAACACCTCTTTATTCCACTTCACTTGGATCAGAAGATCTGGGTCACAGATCAGTTCGATTGCAGCAGATCTACGGATTTAAAGATCCCACAAAAGTGACGGCATTTCTACGAACTGCAGATGCCACCCTTTTGGAGCATGCGCTTGCGGTCATGAAGGAGAGAGCTTGTGGTTTGTCGCTGCAAAACCTCTCCCAAAATCTGAAGGAACGATGTTTCGGCCAATTGACATTGAAGGTACAGGGACCTACAACCCTAAATCCAGGAGATTCCTTTGTTTGCAGGGTTTGTGCATTCCATGGTAAAAGATGGTGCAGAATTGGAGAAGGCATCATATTTGACATCCATAGTTGTGGTGTCAGTACGATATGATTGAAGCCTACTCTACACATTATATTCACTGGGATGGTTGATCCCTCATGTACTGTGTTGAAGCATTTTGTTCTTGCAAAGGAGAACGGGCTGCAGTTCAATGCATATCAATGCTCAGCAGCCATGACGAGCTACAAGAATGCATCAATGCGGCTCTGATCATTGACTATCATTTGTATTACAGTAATACTTACAGTATGATAATTGTATTAAATTTGCATGCATGTTTCCTTTTGGAAATGCAGGAAATTTAAGTTGGCATGTTGGCCTTCGGTGATTTGGCATTGTCAATGGTGCAAAGGCGTTTGGGGAATCAGTAGAATCATCAATCTAGCAAGCTGCCTTGGCGCTTTGATGTTTGTAGGTGGCCCAGAGCTTTGTCTTTGTTCCTCTCCAGCATCCACAACAGCCTGGACTCTCCTACGATGCAGAACGTTGCATTGGGATCATGGGCCAGTGGAAGTCGCTGGAAGGAGGTGGGCAGCTGGTGCGGGTGCGGGTGTTACGGCCGATAGCGGTACCTCCACATGGATGTCCTATGCACGTTGCTACTAGTAGCTTCTTGTTTCTAGTAGTAAGGCACCTTGTTACTAGTAGCGATGCACTTGTTACGTTCGTAGCTTCTTGCTAGTAGTTGATGTACTTTTTGTTCGCTCCCGGGCTCAAGAGCAATCTGATAAAGGGCATTACTACTAGTAGCAAGAGGCTACTACTGTAGTGGCTCCTGGCATTACTAGTAACAAGGGCATTACTATACATAGTTTATGTATGTTTTTACGTATCTTGCAGCTGCTAGTAGACCTTGCATGACAGGGACAGTCAATTTGTCACATGTTGACCCACTCAAAGCACACTCTTCAATTTCCTGGTCATGCAGTAAGTGACAGTAAGTGTAAAAATGATTTGCATTGACGCCCCATGTCGCCAGACTACTGTAGCCCGTGTCGTTTAATCGCTTGCTTCTTATACCCCGGCGGCAATGGTCTTGCGGCGCCCCGCTTCGCAAGCTCGACGCCCAGCTTCATCCACTAAATCTCCAATCTTTCTTTGCGCACCGGGCGCGGGTGGTGGACGATCTCGACAGGCACTTCTCGGACGCTTTGGAAGTGTCAAACACATCAAGCTTTCCGGGGCGTTGAATTTGACCGAGCAGCATGAGACACGGATTCTTGAAGAGCTTCTGAAGCAGATGAAAGCAGCCAGCAAGGCGAACCAGAGCGGGAGACCAATATACCTCGTTGGGCATTCTTTTGGTGCACGTGCGGCTGTACACCTCTTTGCTCGCACAGACGTTCGAAAGCAGCTGCCTCACAATGTGCAAGGCATTATTGCCTTTGGATACCCCTTGCTCCATCCCACTCAGCACAGAGAACGCAAAATCCTTGAGCTTCCTGCAAGCACTCGGGTACTGTTCCTGTCCGGAACTCGAGATCCCTTCATGGGAGACTTTAAGCTCCTGAAGGGCACATTGAAGAAAGCAAAGTGCAAGCACACTTTGGTGAAAGTTGAGGGTGGTGATCACTCGTTGAAGTGTTCCAAGGGGCAAGAGGATTCAGTTGTGTCAACCATTCAGGAGGCGATTGAGGCCTTTGTTTAGCCTAGAGCTACCAGTCGTGAATTTGCAGAGCTTCTTCGAGGATTCAGAAACAGGTTTTCCATGTTGAAGAAACAGCGGATGTATGCAAAAAAGGCCAAGAGTCATTCATGCCTGCCAGCCACCTATTCTGCGTTGCGATCAGGAGTCCTTTGTTAAAAGATTCCTGCAATTGTTGACATCACCACCTCACACTAAATCAATCAAAGCCGGCTGATTTGATGCCCCCTATGCTTGGCCAGATTGAGGAGCAGGACTTGAAATAAACCCTGGGCCATCCACACAAAAGAGGAATCCGTTTTATCATCTAAATCCACCGGTCATCACAAGCCCCGACGTTCTGAAGAGTAATCAGCGCATTTTTTGGACAGGCATTGGACCTTCTGCAGCAGACCCCTCCATCGCGCAGACAGCTATTCGCTTGCAGTGCAGCTTTGAGCGCCTGTGGAAAGTCAACAGCTTGGCAGGTGGAGATTGAAGCTGTATGGGTGTGGTTAAGGATCATTTAATTTCACCCAAGACGTACAGAAATCTCCGGTGCTCAATTCATAGTAGATCATAATAGACTTTCAGAGGGCTTGTGCAATGTCCATCCAGTCCGCCATAGTCCGCCTATCCATTCCTCTCATTATTCTTTCTTTGCAGGCCGCACTGACCCTCATGAAAGAGATGTTAGCAGAGGAGCTGCCCTCCGTTTGTTTGGGAAGCTGGAATCCGACTGCAAACCTCAATCGAGAAAATATAGTTCTATTTAATTCCTACAAACCTCCTTGGCTTTCAGGAGGTACATGCTGACGTCGTTTGCTACAACACCCTCATCAGTGCCTGTGGCAAAGGCTGGACGAATTCTCAAGAAGAACCATCCTACGATGTTGAGTGTAAGAGTGGCAAATTATTCCCATTTTCTTGGGGGTATATCACTCTAGCGACTCTCGCGTTTGTTTTGGTGTCCATTTGTCCTTGCAGGTGGGCAATGGACTTTGGCGCTGGAAGTCCTGCAGGAAATGAAGCGAAAGATGCGTCCCAGCAATGCCAGCTATTCTGCTACCATCAGCGCTTGTGACTCGTCCTAAAGAAATGGCCTTCAGGTTTTGCTTCTACGCTTGACTTGAGGTGGCTATGACAATTGTCCAAACAAGACAACCCCTGGTTGGCAATTGTAGCCTTTGCAACTCTATGGTAGCTTTGCAGGACTTCACAGGAGCTAAATCGCTGAGTCTCCGAATCGCAGACCACTGTCCCAACTTGGCAACGCCGGCACTCCGGAAACGAGGTGAGAAGGCCTTCCGGTGGCGTGAGGCGTTGGCACTCTTGGAAGAAGCACACGCGGTGAGGTGCTTGAGTGCGTGTGAACTCAATCGAGCCACTAAGTTCATGGGGGCGTCTTGAGAAGGTTTTGATCGCGGGAACTCACCACCTCACTGGGGAGTGCAAAGACGCTGAGATGTCCCTCGTGGTATCCAAGGCATTCTGGGTTGTCTCCCCCGGAAAAGATCTAAAGTTGGTCGAGTCATGTTTGGGACACGGATGGCTTTTGCCAAAGTGCTTATGGTACTTGTACTGATACTAACCTTGTGGTGAAAGGGTCTTGCCAAGTTGATCCAAGTTGTGGAAATTCTTTACAAATGCCTTGATAACATACAGCGCTCTCCCAAGAAGGCCACAACTGAGCTGCTTCAATGCTGCCATCAGCGCTTGTGAGAAGTGCCACAAGTGGCAGATGGCCTTGAACATCTTCCAGGCCGAAATTACGCAACCCAAAGTGTCAGTGATTAGAAAGGTCAAATGGTCAATTGTATGAAGGCAGAACTTATGACAATTCAGATTCATGATGATTCATGTATATTTCATGACTTGTGGAGTCTCACAGGGGACCGGTCTCAGCATTTGCATATTCATGGAGATCCTGTAGAGGAAAGCCCGTTTGTGTATAGCAATAAACCAAAAGGATGTTTGTGTTGAAGCTTGGGTTAGGCTGTTGCACAAAGCGGTTGACGGCAAGCTCATCAAATCTGGAAAGCTTCATTGAAAGGGATCTTGCTAGTTGTCTATATAATGAGCCTAAAGGGTCCAGCAAGCAACGATGGTTCATCCAGGTTATGAGCCTTCAACCTCACAGCAGTCGTTGTTTCTCTTTATTTTTCTCCCAGAAAGTTCAGATATATATATATATATTATATATATAGCCCTGGTGAAATGAGAGAGACACTGTTGGTCATTGGTTTGAAGCGTAAAGGCTAAACATGCTTTTTAAAGTACCTCGGTGTCCTCTCAGCCGAGTGCTACCCTCAGGAGATTTCCCAAAGGCGGCAATCTCCAGACAGGATCGGACGTTTGGGGATTGTGGCTTGACCTCACCTGACACACTTGCAGAAATGTCGCTGGTTGACTGGTGCCTGTTGATAAGAAGGTGAAGTCATGGAACAACCGCACAGTCGGAAATACAATAATTTGTAGTTTGATGTGTTTTGCATTCTTTGATCCTCTCATTCTATGTGGTGTCAGTAAAAAGAACTAGTAACTACAGTATGTGGCAGCCAGTGGCCAGGATCAGTTTCAATGCTTGCATCAGCGCCTGTGCTGGGGAATCCATTTGGACCATTGCCTTACATTTATTGCAGCAAATGCCCCGCTGTCAACTCACAGCTGGTGCCATTACGCGCAGTGCCGCGCCCTGCCGCAAGTTAAACCATGCTAAATGCTAATTGGTTGTTACTTTGTGGGCAAGCAATGTAAGACAATGTAAAGTGCTAATTGGTTGAAACTTTGTGGGCAAGCAATATAAGACAATGTGTCGACCCACAAACAATATATAGCGAGTTTAGTCAGGACCTTATACTCCAATGTTCTGCTGGGAGTATTACAATCCATTTGTTGTCCTGAACACCCAACCAGAATAGGGCCAACACTGAAAAGGTTTCAAGGTTTTACGTCGTTCAATGGAGAGAAGCCATGACGGAGAATTGAGGTGTCGGTGTCCGGTGTTGGTAGGTTCAAGATATATAAATGCACTGGCAGGTATACTTTGCATGTAATTTAGACTCAGGCCCCACTTGCGCACCTTGACACGTTGTTGCAATGAACAAAGTGCTCAAGGCCTGACGCAACTGCAGTTGCATTCCCCAGCAAAAGTGTAGCGTGTTCTGCGACATTGACATCTTTCCCACTATGCAGTGATTACTGATGTTTACTTTCTTAAAAAGCGATGCACTTGTTACGTTCGTAGCTTCTTGTTTCTAATATCTAAAAATCGTTCGGCCATTGGACCATGCGAAGGGTTCCTCGCATCCTTGCGTGTAGCAGCTTCCTTGCTTTTCTTTGTAGCCTTGCTACTGGCCATCTTACCTCCCGATTCCCAGCCTACCAGCAACCCCCAAGATACTACATCTTTGGCAGTGCTATTTTTGCAACTCGGGAATTTCCAGGTAAACTTCCCCTGTCTCCCAGCCTGCCCAGGTGATCACTGCTTGTGAAAAAGCATTGCAGTGGCAAGTTGTGCTTAAGATCCTCGACCAGCCTGGCATCTTCACTGCAGCGTCCGCCGCCGCACTGCGCAAACGTGTTTCCTCCGATCTTTTCACTTGCACGCACAAAGATGCACAAAGCTCTATATAAGAGCTAAGAAACAGCAAGAGCCTTTGCGTGGCAGTTGTGGTGACTTATAGCGAGGTGGTGTGACTTACGGTGTTGGCTAGTAGGTCCTTCATGTGTCTAAACGACTGGTCGCGCCTGGTTCCAGCGAATCCTAGTAGATGTGAGGATTGCAGCCATTTTGAGGATTTGGAAGGGGAAGCGCTACGGAGCTGCACCAAGCCATGTGGTGCCCTGTTGCGAGTTTGTGTTTTCCCACTGGTGATATCATTGGAGCTGCCTTGGCTACACTTGACAACTATATCGTGTTTTTTAATGATATTTTGTGATGTTGCTACGCCTTCCTTTGGTTTCGGGGCCTCAATGCACTGAAGGTACCTTTCAAAGCAGGCACCTTCCTCGCAGACGCAGCTGAAGGCCCTCCAAGGGGCCAGAGAAGCCACTGGTTTGGTGGACGAGTTCAAAGTGAAACAGCACCTTTGATGTCAAGAGTACCTAGAACTTGTGCTCAAAGCATTTCAAAGTAGATTGATTTTGAATAGCCAACAAAAAGCTCTCCCTAGCAAACAATCGAGGGAGAGTGAATAGTGTGAAGCCCACCAAAATTATATGGTAAATAAATAGTATAAGTAGTATTACTGTAGTAGACAAGACAGACCTGAGAAAAAACACACCTTGGGCGAAAGACCTGTTATTATTCCCACCAACTAAACTATTCAGTGTGTGATAGTAATTTGCGAGAACTGTTGTTATTCCTTCCATTTGACTGATTGGAATTGGGAGTGGACATTAGGCAAGCTTCCAAATTGGGATTGGGACAGTGTCCTTCTTGATGCCAAAAAGTTTTGGAGCTCGACGAGACTGGTTTGAATCACGTAGGACGTTCTTTGCCAGAGTTAGGAGCAAGGACGCTACTAGTAGCTCCTGGCATCGCTACTAGGGGCAAGAAGCTACTAGGGGCTCCTGGCCTTACTACTAGGAGCAAGGACGCTACTAGGGGCTCCTGGCATCGCTACTAGGAACAAGCTGTAGACCCATGGAGGTATCAGGTCCCATCGTAGGAGCCAGTGTGGGACTGGAGTCCCTCCACTCGTCGCAGCACACTCCTTCGCTTCAATGTTGCCAGCCATCAGAATCGACCATGCAGCCGCTACAGAGATGGAAGGTAGTTGCAACTGCGAGCTGTTATGCATATAAGATGGATTAAGATTGTATGTAAACCATGTTTAAACCGTTGTAAACCTGACAGTACCAGCCAGACAATCCGGACAAGATTCTGAATGGGCACAAGCGAGCAAAACACCGGCAATGTTTGCATTTGGTTCTATTGCTGTTCTTTAATGTGTTGCCTTCGTGTTTTCATGTATATAGTATATATATGTATATCCTAATGACTCCTATTGCAAGTGCCCTCATCAATGCTACTGTGAATCTGTATCATGGATAAATATCGTTCCTCTCCATTATATAATTGAGTTTGGTCGCCTTTGATTGCAGTGGTGTCGGGGCAGCAATGTGGTTTTTGAATGAAACCTTGCTGAGGTTGGTGAGCTTGCTAAGATCCTTTGCATCCATGTTGGCTACCTGATTGCATCCAAGACCTTAATCATAGCTCAAACTTGCAACACGCAGAAAAAAAGGAACCATGAATCCCAGTATTTGATCAGGTTACTGACAGGGACTTGTTCCACAAAGCTGCAGCTTCGCTTGAGCTGAAGATTGAGGGCAGCCTGCAGACGCAGGATGGGCCCTTGATGGTGTGTCTAACGCTGATAATCAATGTCAATCTATGATTCAACCACACATAGTCAAATTGGAGAATCCAGATGAATCCAGTATTTTTGTGGACAACATGAAGCCTGTGCAACGGTGACTGTCATTCATGCTTGAGTCAAAGGAAACCAAACCTGAAAATAGCGGTCAAAGGATGAGTTCACCAGCAAGGGGTTTCGCTTATGTCTGGCAAGACATTGTCTTACCTCTTAAACCACTTAGCGATTGTCTGTTGCGTGCGCAAGTCATGTGGAGCTCCGTTGACAGGAGCTGGCCAATGTGGCCTGGGCCTTTGCAGTTTCATCGTCCTTGTCATCAGGCAGGGAAATGTGTTGCACCACACAGCCCAAATCCAACGACACTCTTGGAGCACCTGGGAAAGTCCGACAAAGTCGTTTTGTGTTTGAATTCAAGAAACCATCAAGATTCCAGGAGGAATTTGAACATGGAGGTCTGGAAAAGGGAACTTTCACTTAAGCAGTTGGACCACGCCCAGGCTCGATCTTTGACTCCGTGGAGCGGACGCTAACTGTGCGTGGTGAGGCAGCTTGGCCGAGCCTTTGGCTCTTTTGGCTCGTTCGGCCCCTTTCGTTGGTGTTCCGCCTTGGAACGGACAGTAAAGGGACCACAGTAAAGCACCTTCTTTTGTTGAGTTGATGTGGAGAGTTGATGTGCTCTATGGATTTCATAATTTGGTAAGGCTCTTAGATTTGCAGCGGATTAGACAACATCAAGTGTTGCCACTACTGTTACACAGTCCATAAACCCTACTTTGCCAGACTTTCAGCAGAGGCTGTTTTGTGCAAGCAGATAATTACCATCAAATTCTAGGCAATCATCCTTAAGACCACACTAAAGCAAGCACATCTCACGCGTGCAGCATGAAGTCTTTGCAGAGACGATTGCATTTGTGGTGCTTGACTAGTCTACCCTGCGGCCTTTGCCTTGCGTTTTGCATCACCGCTCCAACCTTCCTGCGGGGCCTACGGGGTGCTGATCAGAATTTCTGCCAAGCTCATCGGCCGCTTCGGAGATTGCGAGTGTGTGTCCACGCAACTGAGAATTTGTTCAACCTTCGGAAGCGCGAGTTGTTGGAGATATTGAAAGATTATGAGGTTGAATGTGATGGGCTCACGAAGCGAGACTTGATTCAGAGAATCCATGATCTGAGAGAAGGAGGTACTAGAGCAAACCCCAGAGCGGATGATGTAGAGACCATGGTCCCACAACAAGAAGTGGCGAAAATAGCTATGGATGACTGGCAAAATGCCAAAACAGACGGTTTCGACTGTAGATTTGGCAGACGAGCAGACGATGGCGTTGATTTTGACATTATTGGTCCAGATGGAACGGTTCAACACACCGTGGGTTTTCGACACTTGTGGCCTCCATCATGCACCTGTGCGGATGCCCGGCGTTGGGGCAGCCAAAGACGCTGCAAGCACGTGTGCATGATTTTGGTGAAATGTGGTGTGCCTTATGCTGCTGTGGCCAGCAGCAATTGGGAGCCCAGCGAGGCAGAGGTAAAGGGTATCTTACAACATATGTTGGGACGGTGGACACCGATTCCTTTGTCCTGACAGCGAGACTTTGTGAGGCAGAGAAATGGTGGAAAAGAGCCGTTGAATGCTGGTCAAGGGCCGAGACCAACTCAGTGGGGTTCAACATTCAAAGACTCTTCAGACAACACTCTTGGACGTTTGCTATTGCCTTGCTTAATGCTGGTGTTTGAAACCAAATGCCCCACTATTTTACCCATGACCGTCACCCTTGCCTTCTTGCTCTCCTTCTTTTCAAGCCTTTGCGGGAGTCGTTATGGTTGAGAGTCCATAGTCATAGTCCATGGCGGATTCAAGAGATCATTGTAAATTGCAACCCAGATATGCCCAAAACAAAAGAAAAGTAAAAGAAACCTATTAATAGGGATGGCCTCCAACCTAGATTGCAACTTATATGCCCAAATGCATTGGGTGTATCTCAATGATGTATTGCATGTGATCGACGCTGTCCTTTGGTCCGAGGCACTTCTGGCCGACCATGCCAGCATTTGCACCGATCCAATGGCAAGAGACTATGCGGAAGGAATGTGCCTTTGATTCGGACACGTCCACTTCGCCTCGCATGTTTTTCCTTTGATTAAAAGCGTGCTTTTTTGCATTCAGGATTGTGTGCAGAGATTTTTGGAGTAGGAACACTTATGCGTGTCCTTATAGTACGTTCTGGAAGGTTGCCGAAGTCCTTCAGTTCTTCTTGGTTCCGTGATATTGATTATTAACTTAAATGATTCATTCTTCCTTAGATGTCTTCCTTAGATGTTCTGTCCGTGTTCTGTGCAAGGCTCGGTGTCGTATGGTCCTTGAACTACGCAGGAGTCTTGCGTTTTGGCTGAAATTAGTTGCATTTGCTTGTGAAAGAGGTTCGAAGTGGTTGGACAGATCAAACTGTAGTAGTTATGTCTTATACTGTAGCAAGAAGCAAGCTTGCGAGACATGGAGAAAGCTAGCAGTTGCGCCACCAATTGGATGGAAATGTAATGACATGTATATTTCAACGAGCGGACGTGGGTATCCCACAATCGTGCCTATTCACTGTTGTCATTGAAGGGCCCAGGTTGGGAGAAAAGGTAGAAGTTCTTTGAGGTCCCAACGATTTCTGGACTTCGCGCATCAAACCTTGTGCCTCAGCAGACTACAGGGGGAGGGGAATGAAATGGCAAGAGGTCTTGAAAAACATTTTTGTGTTGCCTGAAAATCCGTCGATAAAAGCACGTTATATTATAATGAATGACAATTCCGTGTTTCAAATAGCTTCTTGTTCCTAGTAGCGTCCTTGCTCCTAGTAGCGATGTCAGGAGCCCCTGCCATGAGATGCCACCCATGTTGTGTTTCGCATGGACTGGTAGCACGTCGATCAAAGTTTCTGGCTCTATCGAAGGTATCAGCTGACCGAGCTCGAGGGATGCTTTGCAATGGAGCCAGTCAGGTGTGCATAAAGGGTTGGGCTAGAAGCGTCCAAAGATACGGGGGAATATAGAGCTGCGCACAACAGGAGAGGTCTTTGCTGCCAATCGGCAGCTGCTCACTGTTTGTTCAATGTACAGTACAACAGGAGCTCCAGCATCAATGCGGGCCTTCCTCTCTTGCTGGAGACTGGGGATGTCGCAGTCTTGCAGAAGCCAGCAGGCAGGGAGAGAAGGGCACCAACAAAACCATTAAACAGAGAAATGGGCAGACGGCCTTTGGAACACTTTCGGTCTAGATGTTGCGAATCTAGGACATTGACGAGAGCACTGCAAAAAGGGAGTGCATTTGATACTGTAGATAAACATGAAGAGAACCGTAATTAACGCACTGGCGTTACAATCTTTTCTATGCCGTTGATGCTAGCATCACTGGCCTTGTGTTTTGGAGCTTTATTGCCCTCAGGGTGGCAGGTGGATGATGGGCATCAGAATACAGCTGAAGATGTGTCCTTATTGTCTACACTGGTACCTTGGCGACCTTGAGCGCCGACATGTAGAAAGATAAGGTTGAAAGTCTCTCGTGATATATTTATATCTATTATATAAGTAATTAATGGGTATGTGACGGTATGTGAGATGTTTGCTACTTCTGGGCGATGCTTTATTGTGCCTTGTTGTTTGTCTTCCGGGCCTGATGCAGCAGGTACGGAGTATGACATCTTTGCGCCGCTTCCATCTCCTGAGTGCGGGTACCCAAATCGGATTGAGCAGCGTTCTTGTGGAGTTTCAGAGCCATGTGCTTGTGAAAGTCAAGCGTTCATTTGTTAGCGACTGCTTACGAGTTGTGGGATGTCAGGATCAGTAACAACAGCCGGTGTGGCAGCAGTCATGTGAGTCGTTAGTCAACAAGCTGCTGTGGCAAACGGCTGAGTGCTGGAGACTACGTGTTGATTCAAGATCCCTTTGTGAGGTTGGTACTGTAAGTGTTTGTAAAGTTGTTGATCGTTGATCGTTGGATTAGTTTGATGTTTGTTTGTCTATGTTTGTCCCATGTTTGTGGCGGAAAACATAGAAGGTGCACTATTTGATTTCTGCAGACATGGGAATCATGGGTGTTGAGGCGACTCTGCATTCAGCCACGGCTTTCTGCACCGGCTAGATGTGCCAACATCAGGCGGGACGGAATGTCAGAAGCCACAAATTCAAAACATTAAGATAGAGGCTGTGCTTGTCATCATTCCAGTCTAAGACAACTCTAAGTCACACATGTCACTCCATGAATCACTACGGGCACGTAGTTTATGGAGTATTGACCTACTAAGACCCATGGGAGGCCTCATCCTCGTGGCCAAGACACACCGGGCCTTCTACGATATGCGCCTTCAATTAGCCAGTGGCTTGTTGAAGCGAGAGCCTCGGTGGCGACTTGAAACCGAACAACTTGAAGATGGAGCCCCTAGTAGCGTCCTTGCTCCTAGTAGCGATGCCAGGAGCCCCTAGGTTCTCATGTTGTTGGTCTGGTAGGTAGGAACAGGAGGAGCACTTTCGTGTTTGCTGTTCAGCTTGATCGATCGACTTTCGTTTCCTCTCGATGCCATTTTGGCGAGAGATCATTGCCAGGCAAGAACAAGGTTTGTTCGTCCTTTTCAGGGCCTGGGAGCAATGGCGGATCCGAAGAGCAAGTCCATGCCCAAGTTCAAAGCCATGCCGGCCGCTCTTCGAAGGCAAATGTACAACGCATCTGGTCGTGCTGATGAGACCAGCTCGGTCAGCTCGTGGGTCCAGCTGGAAGCTGAACCAACATTGGAGGATCCATGGCCAGAGCCCTCTATGGATCCTGTTCGTGAAGAAGGTGATGGCACTAGCCAGGCTGCTCAGCCTGAGGCAAGTTCGTCGGCAGCTCCACAAGTTGTTCCACCACCACCACCTCCTGGGGGTCCTCCATCAAGTTCGGCAGCGGCTCCAGTCTTGCAGGCAGCACAGAGCTTTCTCAACCACACGAACGAGACTCCTGCATCCAGGCGCTTGAGAGAGCGTCAGGAGCAAGCTGCTCGACGAGGAAGACGAGCCTATCGGTGGGGAAACTTGGCACCAGGCAATTTGGGTCACAATCCGCTCAATACTGCACTGCCGGATCATCTATCTCAGATTGGTTCAGGTGAGGGGGAACGATCGATTCTGATCATTGACAACCGTGACAAAAGGATCCAGTCACCTTTTCAGAATTGGCTGCTCGATGAAGTGCTCACCAATGCTCTGACTTACCTCAACGTCAAGTCCGATCGATCGCTGGTGAAGTCACCCTCGACAGGTTATCATTTCAACTTGTTCCTGGTACGCACCCTGGACAGTGTCAAGGTGATCATCTGCGGGTCGGCAACGTGCTACTCAAGTGCACCCTGCGCTCGATGGGATGCGGCGACGGGGGAGGTGCTCAGCCACTCGGCTTTTCAGCCCTTTCGCTGGCCGCCCATGACTGAGTCTAGCCCGACCTGGGTTGATATCAAGATGAAGTTGGAGGGTCAGCTGCTCGTTCATCTTGAGCTTCGTGGGTTCCGTTCGGATTCTGATATGAGCATTCAGATGATCCATGTAGCTGACGCCATCTTCAACATCTTGAACGATACCGTGTTCATCCCAAGCATCGTCATCACGGTCTTCCAAGGCTGGCGTGTGGTGGCAATCTCCTTCGAAGTTGGCGGTCGCTTGTACGCATGCTCTGAAGGAGGTGTTGTTGTGGCACTTGATCATCCGCTGTGCCACTTTGAATGCAGATTCACAGCAACCAGCTCGCCGGACGCGTTCGGCGCTGATGCAGACCGCCTGGAAATGCGGTTTTGGTCTGCCAGCGATCGCTTGGATGTCGCATGCAATACGGCATCGATCCCTTCTTCGTGGTTGGTCATCAGCCGAGTCTCCGGCCCTACTTTGATCAGAAACGCAAAGTGGTGTCGAGAGCATGGAGCTAGAGTCGAAGGACCTGATCAGGCGCTCCAATTCAGTCAGTTGGCGGCGATCCACGCCCACTGGACGGCTCAGGTCGAGGCAGTATCGATCGATGATACGGGACCCCGCATCTCGGGCATTGCGGTCGAGTCCAACCCGATCAACATGCACCTGGTCTGTGAAAGCCCGTTGTTTCGCAATCAGCGTGCGATCGTGAACGCGGATGCTCTCGCACTGCAGCACCACGATCCCAAGGAAGAGATCATGGCCAATGTCCTCCCCCCCGATCGTGGAAGGCCCTGCTGTTCGTCCTCTTGAGAGTGCTCCGAAGCTAGCGCCAGCTCTGACAGGCTCAGGCGACTTCCGCGGCATCCCTGCTGCGCCAGTCAGCAGTGCCAAGCCATCGATGACGGATCCTGGTCAGGCTCCTGCACCAAGCTCGTGGACTGGTGGATCAATTGCTCCGCCAAGACGTTCGCTTGAGCACAGGCGCAATGAGCCACTGGACCAGTCGGCAATGACGCCCCAGGCTTTCGTGGAGGCGGCTCGCAACTACGGCAGCGGATGGCGTGGTGCGGGTGGGCCAGATCGCCAGTGGACCTCATCAGTCCGGATCAATGAGATTGTTGAGGATGGCCCAGATGGGGGCCAGGCTGGACCAAGATCGTTCAAGCCTGTGAAGCCGGACGAGGTCACGGAAGTGTGATCACAATTTTCAATTTGAATTTGGAATTTGATTGACCGCTCTCGATTGGATTCGATCGAGATGAGACGTCATCAGAGCTGAAAGTTTGGAGTGGTAGCGAATGCTCATTTGAGTTTGATTTTATTTTTCAACGGCTTCCATAGATTTAGATAGTAGTTTGATTTGAGTTGACATTCGATCACGCCGTTCGGCCGTGTGCTCCGGCCGTGATACCGGCTCGCGTGAGGCAAGATTCTCAGATGGGAAGTCGGTCGTGGGGGCTCAGGGGCGCACTAGCCGTTCTGCGTCGGCACCTTGTTCAAGGGAGCTGACCGTTCTAGGCCTGGCGTGTCCCTGCTACTAGTTCTAGTGGTGTCCCTCTCCCTCTCGGTGGCCTCCTCTTTTTCTATTAGGTTTTGAGGTTCTGATACTGAGAGGTGTCGCATGTTCGATTGATCGTGAGTTGAGCTGCATGTCTGTTCGCATTTGATCATGACGCGAAGTCATTTCGATCGAAGTGCTTGTGAGACGACTAGGCTCAAGAATGATCAGGTGGTTGACCAACATGTTCACCACCGATCGGTGGACGTCCAAGATCCTAGATCTCCCCGTGTTTGATGCCGCGTTCGCCCAGGCCATCAAGAAAACGCCTTTGAATTCGGTGGCGTTCGTCTCGGCCATGGAGGCTGAGTCCAGTTCGGACTTCGTGGAGAGAGTGTATGGGCTTGGACGATCGTGGGACGAGTCTGTCGTTGGAGTTTTTCACGGTCGTGAACTTATGCTGGAGCAGTTTTGGACCCTATCCATGTCGATCGAGAAGGCATACTTTGAGTCGACTGCTCTTCAGCTAGGTTTTGGGTTGTGTGAATTGGTCGGACCCTCATCGAGCTCGTCCGGGGATCCCTCCGCTTCACTCAGGAAGAGATCGGCGATCGCCAACCTGACCGCCAAACCCATGGTTCAGCCCAAGCGGGCCAAGACAACGGCTCAGGATAGTTCATCATCCTCAACCCCCCTTCTCGACAAGGAGAGGTCTGAGAAGAAACGTTGGGCCGTTCGGCTTGAGGAGATTGGTGTTCGTGCCGGTGAACATGCCAAGCTTTTTCAAGAGGCACACCTAGGTCCGAACTTGTCGGCCGCTGAGAAGATGCAGCTCAGGAACTTGGTTTTGGTCTCAGGTGCACATCGCACCATGGCGGGGCATGTTCGCACGTTCGAACGATTCGAGAAATGGGCAAGCGCCGTGGGCATGGTCGTTCACCCATTGACGATCGACAAGGTTCTGAAATATGGCATGTTTTTGAACGGTCGTTCGTGTGGACCATCGGTGCTTCCGACTCTGAGGGCGGCCATCAAGTGGATTTGTAGCAAGCTGGCAATCGACCCACCTGCTTTTGATGATCATCGGTTCTTAGCCTTGCAGGCTTCAGTTCTTAGCGAGCGGGCAACAACACTCAAAGAGGCGGTCCCCATCCCTATTCCGGTCGTGAAAGAGCTGGACCATAAGAATCCTTTAAGATAAAATCACTTGAAAATGATAAAACAAAATGGGTTTATTATTTTTAGAAAATTTTATTGTTTTTATAAAATTTATGTTTTTGATAAACAAAATTTATCATCAAATAATAAAACTTTTGTTTCCAAAATTACAAAATTCCATTTCCCAAAAAATAAAACAAAATTTATTATTGGAAACAAACGAATCTTGAGAGTGTATATAAGTTGTTGTTGTTGGTGGTGGTGGTGCAGGTGGTGGTGGTGTTGGAGGGTTCTGAGTGTTCTGAGAGTTACTCGAGTGGTTCAGGGTTCAATGATGCATGTGTACAGGTGCCTTATTGTGATCTGTGGCGCTGCCAATCCAATATTGAATGCAGCCAATCCAGTTTGAGTGTTTTCCTTCAGCTGAACACAATCGAACGATACCAAAGCTGCAGGGGAAGCAAAAGGGACCAACTTCATGGAATGGCTACTGTTTTGAGAGCTTTGCTTTGAGAGAGTTTTGAGGGAATTTGCTTGGAGAGTTTGGAGAGCTTCCACAGAGTCGGCAGGCTTGATGTTCAGTATAGGTTTGCTTGACCCAGACGCAGCAACTAGGGCTTCAAACTCGCAAGTTGGTTCGTCGCAGTATCTGGACCACATTGGCCCAACAGTGGTTGATTGAAAGCGTTGAGCGGTTTAGAGAGACCAAAGCACGACACAATCCAAAGATTTCAAGAACCAGAAACCCTTGAACGCGTTGAGCACCACCTTTTGATTTAGAGAGACGCGAAGAAAACGTCTCCGTATGCCATGGCTTTGAAAACCAAGCGCTCACGGTTGTCAGCTGATGGGAATGTTTCCATGGTCAACCTTCAAGAAGCATTAGAAAAGGGCATGGCAGAGACAGGAAGGAACCTACACCATATGCTTCAGATGGCCAGAGAAGGGCAATGCAACTGGACCAGCACGCCGAAGACCGCGTTGGGAATACTTTCCAAGTACACTGCTGTGTTCCAGGAATTGCTGATCCTGTGCCCTAACACTGCGGTAAACAAGACCAAGATTGCGCAGGCAATCTATCAGTGCCATATAGATGGCGGTGAGGTGAGCAAGTTAGCCACCTTCAGCAAGGATGATGCTGACAAGGTTGGCGAGGTGATTCGGATTACCCTGAGCAAACTTCGCAAATGCAGCGCTGATGAGAAACAGCCACTAACTAAGATCGAGTGTTCTTCAGAGATTTGAGATGTTTACATGTGCCTGAGAGTTTTGACATCGAGTTACGAGGGTTTTGACACCG